AGGTGGGGACTGAAGGATGAGAAGAGGAAGCCAAAAAACTATGATGGGAAAAAGCATTTTAGCCAGAAGAAACAAGATGGTTAAGATGAGATAAGAGAAAATTTTGCCTTCAAGAAACAAAGAATTCTGTAGTGCTGGAGTTATATATACAGAAAACAAGGGGAAAATGGTGACAGATGGGATTTAAGATAATGAGGAAGATCAAGTCACACAAGAGCTTGAAGATCAAGAAGAGTGGACAGTTTTACCAGTGTAATGGGAAGTCTTTGAATATTTTAAAGCAGGGAAGTAATATGATCCAATTTATATCCTGCAAAGATCACTGTGGCTGCTGGGGAGAAATCTGGTTAGAGGGAGTCAAAAGTGAAAGAAGACTGTAGAAAGACAGCTACAATGGTCCAGGTAAAAAGCAATGACAGTTTGGAAAAGACTGGTGGCAATAGGGTGGGGGAGAAATGGTTGGGCCTGATAAATATTTTGCAGGTAGTGTGGATGGTACTTGGCAATAGAAATGGAGCTGTTAACAATTAATCCCAGGACTATGGTCGGATAATGAGATTAAAGTGGCTGAGAAAGAAATTCATTTGAAACGGAAAAATCAAGAGTAAAGTTTTAAGCAAATTAAATTTCAGACGCCTTTGAAACATCAAAGCAGACAAGCCAAGAAGAGTGCTAGTACATCAATGTGGGGCTCAGAAAAGATCTCAGTTGGAGATATAAATTTGGGAGTCATGGAGTAAGATTGAATGTAAAGAGGTCCTTTGTGACCTTTCTGAGAACAGTTTCAGCAGAGGCAGGAGGTGGGTAGTCAGGTGCCAGATTGCAGTGGGTTGAGAGGAAGTTGAGGCAATAGACAACAGATATAGACTATGCTTTCAAGTACTTTGTAGAAAAAGAGAGAGAGAGAGATTAGGAAAAAAGCTTCAGGGAAATGTGGGGGTAGAGTGGAGGTGTTTTAAGATGAGAAGAGTTTTCAGCTTATTCACAGGCTATGAGAAAAGCGGTAGGCAGGGCAGGATTGAGGATCGGAGAGCTTAGGGGTGAGGTGTGTGTGGACCAGAGATAATGAATCTCCAGAGGAGGAAGAAAGAGATGGAATTCTAAGCACAGCCAGCCTAAGGAAGAAATAGAAACACGTCTTCCTGTGAAATACAGAGAACTAACTTGGAATGATGGTGAAGAATAAGGAGGTTTAAAGAAGATGAGTGAAAATAAGAGATTTCAGACATAAAAGCCTTTTTCTTTTATTATTATTATTTTGATGTGGTGAGGTGACAACATCTACTGAAAGTGAGTGGATGAGATTAGGGTGCAGATCTTTTTAAATCTGCACTACCTGAATCCTTCATGATTATTATCCCAAGCCCTTTCCATAGCTTTATGATGCTTGTGGCTATCAAACCCTCACATGATAGTGTTATTGATTTCAAATTCCAAATATTCTTTAGACTAAATTCCTTGATTGATTTTTCTATATGCCATTAACTCATGTTATGGGACCCCAGGGCTAAAAAGCCATTAATCTACTCCAAGTTCAAGCAAACTTTCAATTTAACAAGTCTTTATGGCTTTTTCAATTGTACTTGATTAGATGACATCAAGTTAAGCAAAACATCTTTAATTTGTCTCAAAATACCTAACCAAGGAAAACATTTTGCCAGCCTTGAGATTGTGATGGGAGAGCATATAAACTAGAGAATTTTGTAATGCAGGCAAAGTTTCCACTCTGTTGGTCACAAACATGATTGGTTCAATCTTACATCAGTGGGGTGTCTACTTCATTGTTCTTATTTCCCAACTGACACTAGAGCCTCTCATTTGTAATCACTTTAATGCTCAGTAGAGTCTTAATACACTATCAAGTCAGAAAGAACTGTTTCAGAAAATAACACGTTTCTTTGTGAAAAGTTAAAAAATAGATGAACAATCTATTCATTATTTATTAATACTTAGCAACATATTGATTATGTACTTAGGTAGAAACAAGCAAAGTTCATTCAAACTCCACATTGGCATATGCAACTTCACTGCTTAAAATTATTATTCTTAAGATTTCAGAACTCTACATTGGTTTATCTATTGTTAATAAGGGATATATTTTAAGGAAAACATTGAAGTTAAATTATGCTGTCATCAGAAGCTTCTTCTCTTTTTAAGGTTAACATCAATAGGATCAAGGCCTGCCTGGTTTTCTGCATCCACAGGCTACCTTCTCTTTGTAGTTGAAATTGTTTGACGCTTGATCTAAAAGTGAAGCTCAGCTTCTGGGATCTATACTGACCTTTATCAGGGATAATTTAGGAAATACAGACCAGTCTTTGGTTGATTCAGCATTTCCAACCTAGCCAAGAGTGTTTCCAGTTAGCACTATACTTCTAATTCTTCCTCCTCCTCCTCTCCTTCTCCTTCTCCTTCTCCTCCTTCTTCTTCTTGTTATTATTATTTTTGGAGATGGAGTCTCCCTCTGTCACCCAGGCTGGAGCGCAGTGGCATGATCTTGGCCCACTGCCACCTCCACCTCCCAGGTTCAAGCAATTCTACTGTCTCCGCCTCCCAAGTAGCTGGGACTATAGGTGCATGCTACCGCACCTGGCTAATTTTTGTATTTTTAGTAGAGATGGGATTTCATTATATTGGTCAGGCTGATCTCTAATTCCTGACCTCAGGTGATCCCTTCTCAGCCTCCCAAAGTGCTGGGATTGCAGGCGTGAGCTATCATGTGCTGAGATGACAGGCGTGAGCTAACATGACCAACATATACTTCTAATTATTGATGCTATTCTTCCTTACTAACCTGTTGATTCCAGATTCCATGATGAAGAGGAGAACACTAGGCTTGAATTCTTACTTCATTTCTTTTTTTCCTCTATGACTCTGGGTAAGTTATTTTACTTCTCTGAGCCTCAGATATACCATCTCTCAAATGTTGTTACAAATACTTATGTCACAAAGGTGTTATATAATACCGAGCTTAGTCTTGCAAATCTTTCTCCTAAGTTCCTGCCTCCATGGACTCCTCATTATCCATATTCTTACAGTCAAGACTTTTTGCTTTGTTTTAGGTATCTTTAGGGATTGTAGTTCTGTGACCAGCTGCTGGATCACTTTGATGACAATTACCACCTTTTCAAATTTCTACCTATTAGCTGAGTCTCAGTTACTGGGTTCATCGATCTGTCCAGACAACTAGTTGCATCTTGCTAAACTGCCTCAATGATTGTCATATGCCTGGGTCACTGCCTATTATTTGACATCAAATTTGTTGACTGCTTTGGACTCTCTGGCTGCCTGGGCTTTCCCCATCCCTTTCCCACAAAAATTACATTTAATTTCTGCTTCGTTTGTAGTTTTGATCATTATATGATATATTAAATGGACTTAAAGTCATCTTTTAAAAAATATGAACAAAGAAATCTTAAAACTTAAAGAAAAATGTCAACCTATAACAGAAACACTCAGTATTCATTATAAATAAAACATGCATTTTGGGCGAAAGTGTTGATAATTTTAGAACTTACAATTTACAACACAGAATCAATTTCAAGCATTTGTCAAAATTCATTGCTCCTTTCAACAAATGACAAAATTCATAAGGTCCTGGAATTTCATGAGGTTGCTGTATGCTAATATTGTCCAGCAGAAGTCAAGGTAAATAAAAGCACAAAGTCAATGGAAGAGTGGTCAAGGGTAAAAAAAATCTCACATGTATGGGCAATCCATGAGTTATCCTCTTTCTATACCAGTTCCAAAAGTAATGATTTACTTGTTGAACTAATGTTCTGCCTTGTTTATAAAATGTTGTTAGCTATTAACACATGATTAGGTTCATAGTTAATTCCTGTGGTCATTTTTTGGTATCTGAACCAAAAGTTACCATCAATACTTTATATATAAACACCTTTCAATACTTAGTAACTTCTTTATATAATGAGATTTAAAATTAGAATACTGATTAGGGAATTGTTCACGAATTTTCTTGTACATTCTAGATTTTAGCAGTAGTAGATCAATGTCTATGTTTAAAGTAATTATATTGACACAAACACCTTCATCTATTTCTGTGTATACAGTGGAACTAGAAAGTTAATGTAATTGCTTAATAATGAGACACTGGGGAAACACATTTATTCTTCAACAATACTACAGAGTCACCTGGAATTTTCCCATTTTCTCTTACTCTCTTAATGTTTATATCTAGAAAGTATTTTAGATAATCCAAATAAACATCTGTCAATTTCTCATGTTACATTAAGTGGTACTATAATAATGGTCTGAATTATCTACTGCACTTTTTTGCACCTCTTAAAACCAAGAAATGGCTTAGCATTGGTTTCACAAATTAATGGTCTTAAATACCTATAAGCTGATGGTTGAGAAATAATCACAAAAAGATAGTCAATCAGATTAAATCTTCATGACGGAAATACTTGAATTGTTAAAAAAACAATCAGTGCAAAAGTAACCCAAGAGGACAAACCAAAATTAGTTACTAGACCTAAAAACAATTAAGTCTTTGTCCCAAAGAATAAGCCCAATTTATCATAAGCATAAGTGAAATTTATCATCTTCTTCTTTTCAGGAGAAAAGACATAATATTCACATAAGACTCTACCATACTATTTTTCTAAATGACAATTTACAATAGTTTAGGTCAACAGATGATAGAACCGAAAACAACCTGGCAAACTCTTTTATATTTAAATATCTTTCCTCTCTTATTATTGCAGCTTGGATGTTGGAAGGCTTTGGGAGAAACTACACTGTGAGAAGTAGAAAGTATGAGTTTATAAATAGGTGAGCTAAAATAAGTGAACTTTCCCTGATTGTTCAAAACTATAACTTCATTGAAATGACCCTTGAGCCACCAATATAAACCTTTGAACACTTGTCAGGGAAGTGCAGCTAAAAATTCCTAGTACTAATTAACTCAGTGAAAAGTTGAATTCAATTTGTGTCAAGGAAGCATCCCTCTTTTTCATTCCCCTGTCCAAGTAACTCACAACTTTCAATCTCCAGGGTGCAGTTCTGCTCATCCAGTGGATACCTTCGCAGATCCATCATACAGGCAGCTGTAGTTGTGATTCTGATAGAGTAGAGAGAGAAAAAACAAAACATTGCAAAAATGATGACATTTCATTTCCAAGCTTCCTAGCCCCAAATCATGTTTCCCAGTTGGCAGAAACAAGGTATCAAAATTTTGTGATATTTAAGAAACTATTATGAATATATGTCAATAAATTGGATAATCTAGATGGATAGGTGGAAATGGATAAATTTCTAGCAACATATAACCTACCAAAACTGTGTCAATAACAAATCGAAATCTGAACAAACCAGTAATGAACAAGGAGGGTGAATCAGTAATCAAAAACTTTCCAACAAAGAAAAGCCCAGGGACAGATGGTTTAATGGGTGAGGTCTACCAGACATTCACAGAAGAATTAATACTAGCCTTTCTTAAACCGTACCACAAAACAGAATAGGGAAAACTGCCAAACTAGTTTAATGAGGCCAGCTTCACTCTAATTCCAAAGCCACACAGACAATACAAGATATGAATAGTACAGGCCAATATCCCTTATTGTATTAGGTGCAAACATTCTCAGTATCAGCAAATGAAATTCAACAGCATATTAAAAGGATCATACACCATGACCAAGTGGGATGCAAGGATGGATATGCAACAACCAACAACATATACAAATCAGTCAATGTGATACAACATATATATTAATAAAATAAAAACCACATGATCATCTCAATAAATGCAGAAAAATTAAAACGTTTCCTCTAAGATCTGGAAGAAGGCAGGTGTGCTCACTCTTGGCCCTACTAGTCAACATGGTACTGAACCCCCAGCTAGAGCAATCGGTAATAGAATTAAATAAAAGACATCCAAATCAGAAATAAATAAATAAAATTATCTCTTTTTGCAGATGACATGATTATATACCTAGAAAATTCTATAGACTCTGTAAAAACTATTAGAACTAATAAATTCAGTAAAATTGCAAGATGCAAAATCGACACAGAAATCAGTGGTATTTTTATATACTAATAAACTCACCAAAAAGGGAAATTAAGAGAACAATTTTATTTATGTTAACAAAAACAACAAAGTACTTAGGAATTAACTTAATCAAAGAGAAGAAAGACCTGTACATTAAAAATTATAAAATATTGATGAAGGAAGTTTAAAAAGGCAAATATATAGAATGACATTCCATGTGCATGGCTTGGAAGAATGAATATTGTTAAAATGTCCATACTATCTACCCAAAGCCATTTTATAGGTTCAAAAACCCAGTGTATTTTTTACAGAACTAGAAGAAATAATCATAAAGTTATATGGAATCATGAAAGACTCTGACAAGCCAAGCCATCTTGAGCAAGATCAAAACTGTTCTAATTTACATTTCCATTCACAGTGTATAAGGGTTCTTCCCCCATCACACTCTTGACACACTTTTGTCCTTTGTCTTCTTACTAATAGCCATCCTCACAGGTATGAGGTGGTATTTCATTGTGGGTATAATTAGCATTTTCCTGATGATTAGATATGTTGAGCACCTTTTCATATGCATGTTTCCCATCTGAATTTCTTCTTTTGAAAATTTCTATTTGGGTCCTTTGCTCATTTTTAAATGGAGTGATTTGTATTTTGTTATTGAGTTGTATGTGATTTTTATATGTATTGGATATTAATGTATATTAATTTGTATATGATTTGCAAATATTTTCCCCCATTCCATAGGTTGCCTTTTCATTTTGTTTATTGTTTTCTTTGCTGTATGTAAGCTTTTTAGTTTGATGTATTCCAATTATCTGTTTTTGCTTTTATTGTCTGGGTTTTTGGTATCATATTCAAAAAATTGTTGCTAAGACCAACATCAAAAAGGTTTTTCCTTATGTTTTTTGCTAGTTGTTTTACAGTTTCAATATTTATGTTTAAGTATTTATTCTATTTTGAGTTGATTTTCATGTATGGTATCAGATGAGGTCAAATTTATATATATATATGTATGTATTTACTTATTTTGCATGTGGATATCCAGTTTTTCAAACACTACTTGTCAAAGAGACTGTCCTTTCCCCATTGTATGCTCCTGGTACCTTTGCTGAAAATCAGTTGACCATAAGTGTATGTGTTTATTTCTGGTTTCTCTATTCTGTTCCACTGGTCTATATGTCTGTATTTATGCCATTACCATAGTGTTTTGATCATAATACATTTGTATTGCAATGTGAAGTCAGATAGTGTAATGCCCCCAGGTTTGATCCCAAGACCTATTGATTATGATATTGGCTCTAGATTTTTCATATATAGTTTGGATTATGTTAAGGTAAGTTCCTTTTATGCATGTTTTGTTGAGAGCTTTTACCACAAAAGATGTTGAATTTTGTCAAATGCTTTTCTGTATCTATTGATATCATTATGTAGTTTTTAATCCAGCATTCTGCTAATATGGTATATAACATTGATTAATTCACATACGGTGAACCATCCTTGCATCCCAGTAACAAATCCCTCTTGGTCATTGCATATAATCCTGTTAATTTGCTATTGAATTTCATCTGCTAATATTTTATTGAGGATTACATTACTTTCATGAATACTGTAACAAATTTATTATTTGCGATAGCCATATTTCAATGATATCATAATAAAGCTATTAAAATATTTTGTGACTACAAATTTTAAAGTTAGGCAGATCGAGTTTGAGTCTTAACTTTGTTGCCCACAAGTGGTGTGGGTTTGCGTTAGTTAAATTATCTCCTTGCAGCTCAGTCCTCTCATTAATCAAAGCTCCTACTACACAGGATTGCTGTGAGAATTAAAAGAGATAGTGTATGCAAAGCTTTTAGCCCAGTGCCCCATACTTAATAGGTACTCCCCAAATGATTATTATTATTATAGCTGTTATTATCTCATGACCCTTTCCATTTTTATCACCCTGGCAATATCTGTATCACTATCTGCAGAATTTGTGAATAGGAGGAATCTACATTATACATAAAAGCTTATCTTCCTCTCTCGCTACAACTAAATACAACATGAGCAACAACAACAAAACCAGCCTCTGTGACTTTTGGTGCCTCACACTTCCCATTATTAGAGAGATTTGTCAGATTTCTCTCTGAAATTCTCTTCTACTTATATTTAGCAGGTAGCATATAATCAGGGAAGAAACAGTATCCTGGGATTGGAGATTATACCATGTTCACCACCCCCAGTTGGGCTTTTGTGTTTATTCAAACTCTGGGACCCTAACTCTCTACATCCTATCTGGACTTCACTATCCCTCCATTTTCTCTTGCCTGGTATGGTTTTCTGGGCTGTGACATCTGAGAGTAATTGAAACTCAGATGGTGAGTCCACCTTTGCAAGCTTTTGATTCACTTTTGAATTGACAAAGAACTTTAAAAAATGTAATGGTCCTACCCATAAAGCGTAATCATAAGTTAACAAACACAAAAATTCAAATTAATTGATGTTTCTTTTTTTATCTTAATCTCCAGGAACTACAGTTTGAAAGTTTCTAAAAATATTCTATTCAAATAGAAGCACAGCTGTGTCTTCTAATGAAAAAACCCACTTAGACAGTAGCCTACCTCACACGCTCCTTTGCCTCTTGCTTATTTTCTTTAACAATGCATCTTAAATTTGGTTCTGTATTAATAATTAATAAGCTATCTTTAAACATGTAGTAAAATTGTGTGGAAATGCCATGATTTATTTTCCTAATCATCCTTTGGTGGGCATTTGTGTTGTCTTCATTTTATTTTTCAAATGAAAGTGCTCTGAATATACTGTAGTATATTATGTACACAGCATATATACTCTACAACAGTATACTGTATAAATAGGTGTATATATATACAAACACTAATATATTTACATGCATACTTTCCCTTTTTCTCTCTCTATATATTGTATATATAGAAATACTCTGAATATACATCAGAGTATTTTTTGAGGCTTCCAAGGTGGGTTATTGCTTAGGTCATTTTTGCTAAACTATCAGCAATAAAGGCATCTTTTTCTTTCTTTCCTTTTTTTTTTTTGAGACAGAGTTTCGCTTGTTACCCAGGCTGGAGTGCAATGGCACCAACTCCAATGGTGGAGGGGCAACCTCCGCCTCCTGGGTTCAAGCAATTCTCCTGCCTCAGCCTCCTGAGTAGCTGGGACTACAGGTGTGCGTCACCATGCCCAGCTAATTTTTGTATTTTTAGTAGAGACGGGGTTTTACCATGCTGACCAGAATGGCCTGAATCTCTTGACTTCATAATCCACCCGCCTCGGCCTTCCAAAGTGCTGGGATTAGAGATGTGAGCCACTGCGCCGGGCCTAAGGCATCTTTTTCTTAAAGGAAAAAGAAAACCCCTCCCTCTTTCCAATTTCGCTTTGGCTTTCATTATGAAAGATGAAAGCTCACAGATGTGAACATTTTCACATACCTTTTGAAGTCTTTCATAGACAGGACATTGGTCAATTTACTTGAATTTGTTTAAGCATTACACCAGAGCAAAACAAATTTTAAAGTTTAATTTTTTTCCCAAATGTTTAACAAAACACTATACTTTCATTTCCCATGATCATATGGGTTGATTAATTTATTCATTTAACAATACATCATGAATATCTTTTATTGTCTAAAAATACAGGAAGGGGAGCGTCATACACTGGGGTCTTTTGGGGGATGGGGGACTAGGGGAGTGATAAGAGGGGATGGGGAGATTGGAGAGGGATCACATTAGGAGAAATACCTAATGTAGGTGATGGGGGATGGAAGCAGCAAACCACCATGGCATGTGTATACCTATGTAACAAACCTGCAAGTTCTGCACATGTACCTCAGAACTTAAAGTAAAATAAAAACCAAAACAAAACAATGAAACAAAAAATAGTTCTTCAACATTCTTTTTTTAGTTCCATAGTGATTCAAACACCCTAAATAAAACAATCACAATAAATACTAAAAATTCACTTGTCTACTATACTTCTTTACCATATTTTTTATTTAACATCATCTTATGAATTAATAAATTGTCAAGAGGGAAACATTCTCTGAGAATTACTAA